AGTGGGCATGGTTGCTTCGGTGCGTACCTGAATAGGATGGGACGCAAGGCCAGCACCGCGCAGCCGACAGATACCCCGCCTAGCATACGCTGGAAGACTGCCTGTGGCTGAACGCGAGGTCCTGGTCGACCAAATCGGACGAGACCGATCTTCGCCAACAATTATTGCAGCCATGCTGGCGGGTGAGAAGGGCTCTGGCGTAGTGGTCTCTATCTGTGAAGCTGTAATGCTCCAGAAAGAGACCGTTGACCGGGATCGGGAGAGGGCCGATCCCGAGCCAAGAGGACGCTCAGTCAGCGATGGTATGAGCCGCCGATGGGACCGCGACCACCAGGAAGTGGTGACCTCTAATGGTAGATCGATTACTGCGGTGAAGGACATAAAGCTCATCGGGCTGCAAGAATTAGTGATATGCGGAGGGAAGCCTTAAGCTTCCCTCGGGATAGAACCTACTACGTGCGGTGTCTAACCTGAAATTACGTGGTCCGGGTGCTCCCCAGAGTAGGGCGCCTGAGACCGGGCCGTCGGGGTGGTTTTTTTGTGGAAACACCACATACTCCTGGAGCCCGTCCCGTAGGAGCTAGATACCCGAAGGGATTTTCTAGCCCGTCAATAAAAACTTTGTGCTATTTATTTGTCTTTACTTATGGTAATTGTTTTTATAGATGTTCACTTGTTTTTACCGATCATCATTTACATTATAATGTCTGCAATACTTATATAGATTTACTAGTAAAACCGAAGATGTAATAATATACGGGCTTATACAGTAACATATATAGGTAAACCTGTTTAACTGTAATCGATTTGTAAATGCAAAGAAATAATCTTTTAAAATTCGGATATTGTAGCAATCGATTTCTTTGACTCTCCTTATTCTTCAATCTGTCAGAACTGTCAAACGGTACCTCTTACGATGTTGCCAACCTAGTAGATTGTCCACTAAAACTGGTGGTTTCGACTGTTAGTGGAGAAATATTGCTTTAGTGGCTAGTAGATTTTTCTAGTGGTAACATTGTAGAGGACTTAGGAAATGATGCTTAAAAATGAATTGTGAGAACTGTTTGTTTACGCAAATTTATTAATTTATTATTTTAATTTATTAATTTTAGGCAATGGGATGATGTAGGCTTTATACCAGAGGGAGAAAGAGTTGAGGGCGAAGTCAATAATGTAGGCTAAAATTTCCTAAAAATGCAGGATAGTAACTATTATCATACGGCTAACGTCATCACAATTAATTGCGAATATTTTATCTGCTATGTGACAAGTAGTAAGAATACGCCATAGAGCAACAGGCCACCGGCGGACCGGAGGAGAGTAGCCATAGCGTCTTTTCGTGACACAAAATAGTCTGTCATTTTTTGCGGAAGGGAATCTTTAACACGCCCACATTCTCGGACTCCCATACAAAAACAATTGACTGTCACTACGGAACTCACACATAACAATGAAAACAACATATTAACAATTTCACACACACATAGACAGATTCTGAGTAATAATAGTGTAATGAAGAGACGCACTACATTGACATGTTGCTAAACAACCGTGGCTATAACAACTATCAATACGTAATATCGATAAATTCGAGTAGTTGGTTTGGGAAGTCAGGTTTAAAAGTGATCCAAGGGTGGATACTAATATAAATAGAAATTTATTTATCACTACAACAATCACCATTGATAATAGATTTATCTATCACTGGTTTCTAAACTGGATTAATTTTGTATAAATATGTCGAATTTATTTTTATACATTTCTGTAAGTTAGCTTTTTCAATAAAAATGTTTCGGAATAGGAATTATATCGATTTTTCGCCATTTATATATGATAACGCTGATTTTAAGTATATCATTGTAAATGTTAAGTAAAAATTGTTTCTCTGAAGAGGGTAAGTTATAAATCATTGAATATGAAATACCGTCCCCCCGTCCGAGCCGAATCTTTCTTCTTTAAGCAATTTTCAAGTTCTTGAATTGTAAATTCTGATTCTAACTCATAATTTATAGATAAAAATCTAGGGCTTGGATTCATGACATAGTCTGGCGTTAAGGAATGCACCAGTTCATTCTGCGCTTCAATGGAAGGAAAGGGTGTTTGTTGCCCTTCGTCCATTTCATGCGCCGCCACATTTCAGGTATAGATAGTTCAACTCAGTTGTGCGCGCGGCAACTTTCATTCGTGTGGCAGTGACGCGGTGCTCGGACGATAACTGCCGCGTCACTGCCACACGAATGAAAGTTGTATATTTACAAGCCCACGCACACATAGGGCCGCGCGCACAACTGAGTTGAACTATCTATACCGACGTTGTTTCACTAATGGAATTACAAAAGGTTTGGCAACTAAGAAACTTGGCCTTCTTTATTAGTTTTTAGGATTCTTTAGTTTTAGATTGTAATATTATAATATAATTTTCGGGAGTCGGGTTACGTCGAAAGTTTCTTAAGGCTAATCTCCGCTGTGTTACTATATGGGATAGTTCAGATGTCCAGTAATCTTTAGGTTTAAATTTTTCGTGAGGCTTATTACAATTTTTTTATAGTAATTCATTTCTTGAACGTTATCGAATCGTTGAATCGTTATAATTACCAATGATCTCCGAAAGTGTGCGACGATATTCACTCCATTTAGCATTTTTAAAATTTTGTTTCCCAAGAATATGGATGCTAGTAGACATATCACTTGATATCTTCAGTACCAGCTGATGATCACTACCAAGATTTTCATTTAATACCATTGTTTATAAAAATATAACCACATTCAAGAGCGGCATCCATAAGTTATACATAAGCTATACCTCTCACATTTGATTTACTTGACCAGTTAGGATGGGTCCCTACGTCATACTGGATAAACAAAAAGAAACCTTTACTGGCTACCACCTTTAATGAACTGAGTGAGCTAAACATAGCCTCTTCTAATATCAAAAAATGTTTACTTTAAACACTTGGGTAACAGTTATACCGATGTATCAATACCGATGTATCAATACCGATGTATAAAAATTTATGTCGAATGCATCAAATATGGAAGAAAGGTCTTATAAACCTAATTTTTTGAACAGTGAAGTCGTTAAGGAAATAAATTTCAACTATGATGAATGGTGTAAAATTTAGATGGATTAAAAAGTGTATATGAACTGGCTGCGTTATACCACCAGAATATTAATTATAAAGGATCTTTTAAAATAAATTAAAATATTTTGATAATGTCCCTAGAACTCATTGCAATATTCCAAGCTCTATTATATGCATTTGAAAATAAGTTCGAAAATATAGTTATTTTTACAGATAGTAAAAGTGCATTACAGCATCTGGCTCGATGCGCCTCTGGTATCAGAGATGCATCGATAGCCTTGGACATTTGTGAGCAGAGTCTTAAAAATGGTATTAGGCTTATATTGCAATGGGTACTAGGGCACATTGGGTTAAAGGGTAACGAGGAGGCTGACCGTACGTCTAAATTGGCAGTACAGGAGGGAACTGAATTAACGTATTTACCGGATTACTGGGAACACTAAAAAACTTATAAATCTAATCACTACCACAAATGGAAGGACAAGTTTGATGAGGTGTCAAAAACTAAAGGAATGTAGTATAAGGCAATACAGAACGGGCCCCGGCGTGTACCCTGGTTTGAAGAATGCAATTTGGGTAGAAGTTATGTAAAACTGGCACTAAGACTCCGTTCGGGGCACTTTCCGTCGGCAAAGTTCGCATTTCTAATGGGAAAAGTAGAATCACCAAACTGTAATGTATGCAATCAGCTATGGACTTGCAGCATTTGCTGATGGAATGTGTCAGGAACAAAATGGAAAGAGAATTATTAATGAAGGAATTCAATTTGAATAAATTTGACGTTGGACTAACACACAGCATTTTAACTAAACCCAAAAACTGAAGTTGCCCAAAAATTGAGCAGTCTGGTATTGGTGCCTTTTAATGATTCTCGTTCATAACTTTATCTAATTGTATGTACAGTAGAGAATAAGTTAGTATAAGGTACAATGGAGCTGGCGTGCCCGTGTGGGCAAAAGTTCCTTCAAAAACACTGGAATAACACACAGAACACTGTTTCTTGCAGGTATCCAGGTAAGGTATAAGTTTTCATAACTACTATCGTCTACTCAGCAGTGCAACTAAATTTAGTATAATGAGCGGTCCGGCCGCAACTGGTTTTATTGTACGCATATGACCGTGTGGACTTATACTTTGGCAGAGAACGCCTGCGTATGACTACTCCCTACCGTGTTGCTCTATGGAATAAGCTGTAGTTTGAGGTTGGAAGAAAAATGCTGTAACGAATATGAAATTGCCATAAACGTTGTAAAACAAATCGGTAACAAAGAATCGTATGAATCTGAAACCGACGATGATGTTGCACAAGAAGGACACATCTGCAGAAGACGAAGTAATTTAAACATAAGTAACTGTTGTCATTGAATATTTTTTTATTGTTCCTGATCTTGATTTGTTGATTTACAATTTTTATGTTTATCTATTGAATTTTAGCATTAGTATTACTCAATAAAAGGGAAATTAATTATTATACATACGTAATAAATAATAAATGTTGTATCTATTATATTGTTTATTTTTCATAATATCAAAAAATATTTATGTTTAGTGGAAATTTAGCAACTATTGGAGTAGGGCCTTGTTTCATTACTTCATTAATTCATTTTTTGTGGGTTTTTGGTGGTTTTAGAGTGTTAATTTAACTGTTGGCAACACTAACCTCTTAGATTTATTGTAACTTAAAAAAAAATTAATTAAGAGTTGCCAGGGTCCTGAATCTTGATATTTATTTATTTTATTTGTGTAATAACCTGGCAACACTCGTGTTTTGCTGTCGTCGCTGAAGAAACAAGAAACTTCGGAAATATTATTTGTGTGAAAATCACTATTTCATTGATTTGCAGTGGTAAATTTTAATAGTGTATTTGTCCAATAATCAGTCTTATATTGCTAGTAATATATTGATGTGTTTTTAAAATGTCTGAATCTTACGGTAAATATAGTTTACAAAAAATAAAATAATATGACAAATTTTGTCTTTATAAATAGTGTTCAGCTTATCACATACCTTTGTGTGTTTTATTGTTTCAGAATATTTATTTAAATTTCTTGTAATTGGAAGTGCGGGTACGGGAAAGTCGAGTCTTCTGAATAATTTTATCGGCAATAAATGTAAGTTTGAAATTGTTTCGTGACATGACCAGATCTCTTTCATGAACTTTGTTTACATTATATCAGTAATAAGCAAACAGTTCATTCGTACTATGTGTGCATATTATATACTTACTATACATAAGAGACAGTGGAGATTAATGTTTTCAGAAAAGTAGTTTATATTAATGAAACATCTGTCAGTTCCCTATTTTAATCATACCTATTTAATATCAATTCAATAAACCTAAAGTATTTGACATGAATTGTTTGTTTTAATGAGTGTTACTAAATTATATTTGTTGGGCTAATACTCACAAACGCAACAAATTTTGATTAAATTAAAGTCCTTGTACTCAAACACAACTACAAAACTCCTGTTATACTAGATTAGCTACATTAACACATTTTATCCACACTATATTTGTTTTATTCTTACAAATCTTGAAAATACCTAAATATAAAATTATTTCTACTTAAATATAAATTTTAGCTTGTGTGCTGTTTTAGTTAAAGAGGACCGATGTCACACTATTGGAGTAGAATTTGGATCTAAAATTGTAAATATTGGAGGGAAATCGACCAAATTACAAATATGGGATACTGCAGGCCAAGAAAGATTTCGATCAGTTACACGATCATACTATCGAGGTGCAGCTGGTGCACTGCTTGTCTATGATATTACATCACGAGATTCATTCAACGCACTATCCAATTGGCTGAGAGATGCAAGGACATTAGCTAGTCCCAATATAGTAATTCTACTTGTGGGAAATAAAAAAGATATGGAAGAATCAAGAGAAGTAACATTTACAGAAGCAAGCCAATTTGCCCAAGAAAATGGTAATAAAATACTAGCCCTCTATATAACTTCATAAGTTTCAAAATCTCCTTTCTAAGAAGTGGCCTATGTCCAGCAGTGGACTGTTAGAGGCTGTTGATGAAGTGTACAAATCCTAAACACTTAATAATTTTATTTTCAGAACTGATGTTCCTAGAAACCAGTGCTAAAACTGGAGAAAATGTAGAAGAAGCGTTTTTGAAATGTTCTAAAACTATTTTGGCTAAAATTGAAAATGGTGAACTGGATCCTGAGAGGATAGGTTCTGGTATTCAGTATGGAACAGGCACATCTAAAAGACTGAATGCTCCTAAGAAACCAGCAAGAACACCTTCTGACTGTGCTTGTCATATGTAACAAACTATCTCTTTGTTGTTGTAATTTATGTTAGATCTGCTGGCAGATTGAATTTACTTTTGAATCTTATATCCTGTCTCTCTTTAATGTAATAACATTTATGTCCATTGAATATAAAATTAAATGTATGAATATAAACAGACAAATTGTGCCCTATTAAGGATCTGATATAATGTTTTGTTAAGATAATAATTTAAATATAGGGATAGCTAAGTTGTTTTAAATGAATAGTGTTCTGTAACATGTTATCCCATTTGCTGTATTTGTATGTGTTGTCACTGCACATATCTTGCTGTCCTAATTGTCAGGTTATGAGAACTGAAAAGTTAGTAAGACTTATTGATTTTAAATTGTATTGAATAACCAGACAACTTTTAAAAATTACTGTCAATTCAATCAAGATAGACATACGATCAAGACTTTCTGTTAATATTCTATTTCTAATTGTAATGGACAAAACATAAAATCTGAAAGTACAAGCCAGGGCCTTTAATAATTTACCTTAAAACTAATTGAAACTTAATTTACCCTACAAATGTATAAATGAATGTAGTTATGTGTATAAAAAAACCATCTAAAAACTTTCATAAATCTTAATACAGTAAAACTAAGTTATGTGATGAAGGTTTAAGTGTTTTATACTCACCTACCATTGTTCTAATTGAATTGATCCAAAAAATTATTGATTAACAAATGTTTCTGTTATTTTTTATAATTTATAAAACAACATTTTAAATCTCAAAACTGAATATTCTATGTTACGATGGTTTAGATACCCAAGGTAAATTATAAATTACCCTAGTTTTTCAAGGCATAGTAAATTTTAATTAGTTTGAATTTTTAATGACGTTTGTTTAAAAAAATCAAACAAAATTTTTACTCATTAATACTGAAATGTACCAAATAATTAAATTTGTATATACACATAATTATTAATAAATTGTTTAACACTTTAGATAGATGAACCTTCTGTGGCCGTTTTTCAGTTGTTCCTTGTTGACCATTACATTTGTAGGGTGTTCGGCAGAACGTTGAACACACGAAAATGAGGGGGTAGGTGAGGTCGTCTGCTACCTACTCAGCAAGAAGTTGTATCAATGAAACTTTTCTTTTAATTTTTGAAATTTCGTCACTCACCTTTTCTTTCATACCGTTAAACCCCCCAAAACTTTTTTATGGATAGATCTGGATGATATTCTTTTTAAGCTATTGCATAGCTTCTATCGCGGGGCTTGAGCGTGGAGACCGAATCTAGAAATTCCGTAACGAAAATAACCTAACACCTCCCACTCCGACTGGCACAGCGGTGATACTTTTTAGTTTTGCCATCTATCGATGAATAGCAAAACTTTTTTTAAGGTAGGGTGTTCCTTTGACATGACAAAGGGGGGAGACCAGTTTATTTTTATTAATGTAATGACATCCACATACAATACCCCCCCCCCCAAAATTTTTATAATTGCATTGAGGTCCCTTCAAAATACCTCCCCTTCTCTCCCCTCCACTTTTGTCATTTATCTCCCCTTTGATTTTCTCGGTTCCTGGAGCACTTGGACACCCCATATTTGGGTTCGTCTGAACCAGGAAAAGGAGACGAACAATCTGGCCCCTACAGATTTTTTAGCTGGTACCCGCGACTTTGTTCGTGTGGAATTTGAAAACACTGCCTTAGTGGGTTCGATTCTGGAGGCGGGCAAAATTCTATAGGGTTTTCCTAAGATAATTATTTAATACTAGCTGGTACCCGCTACTTCGTTCGCGTGGAATTTGAAAACGCTGCCTTACTGGGTTCGATTCCCGGCCGGGCAAATTTCTATAGGGTTTTCCTGAGATAATTATTTAATACTAAGTTGATAAAAATGCTATTCAATAGCTTTACCGCGGCAGTCCCCGAGTGCCACACGTCTTTTTGTTCGGATCTTATTGGATGGTATTATATTTAAAATTTAAATTTGTTGCAGGTTATTGCATGTATATAGGTTATTATAAACGTAAAAAAGGAGTTTAAATAACTTTTAAAGGGTCAACTTCGCGTTGCATTAAAAAAAAAACTGAAAGTGATGGAAGACAGGCAGAGGTCATCCTGTAGAGATATTTAAAAGAAACAGAATTCTTTTAAATATCTCTACACCTATGACCTTTCTAACCATAGAGATGTAAGCATAAAGCGAACACGGGGTACAGCAGCCTGTAAGTGGAAGCGATACAGGCAACGAGAGAGATGGATGCCTCATAGCATGCTAAACAGTTAGCTAAGCTCGTGAAATGGGCATGGTTTTGATCGTAGAACAGGCGGGAGATTAGAAATTTTCCAGCCAACCACAGAGGTCGAGGGAACATCCATCTGTCTCGTTGCCTATATTGCAAGATTGGGCTCTGTAGTTTCCTTTGATATATTTTTCGTAACTAGAGTTATTTATTGTTTTTTTTACTTTGGTGTACCATTTCGACGAAATTCTACGTATGAGGAAAGTTAAATGTTGTGCGAAATAAATATCACCGGTACATTGTTAGATTTCAAAAGAACGAAAGAAAGAAAGGTTACGAAAAATATATGAAAGTAAACTACATACCGTTAGAAAGCTCATACTCAAGAGATCTTCAATCATCATCATCATCAACAGCCTTTAACAGTCCACTGCTGGACATAGGCCTCTCCTTAGAAAGGAGGTTTTGGCATACTATACCACGCTGGCCAAACGGGTTGGTATAGGGTTTGTGTCAAGTTTTTCTTCTTTTTGCAGTGCTGGTGTCCTGCGTTGTTTTGCGCCCTTAGTCGGCTCTTACGACTCCCACGGGATGAATTGGGGTAGTGACACCAAAGTGAGGGATCGCACTCCAAATTATAGGATCAATTGGTGGAATACGAACCACTGATAGCAGCTCCATGCGATAGAATCCCAAAACACCATATCTTCACAAGAAGATACTACATCCAGATACATGGAAATGACCGAGATCAATCCGGCATTAACGAAGTTCGAATTTACACGGACGGTTCCAAGACTAGGTCAGGAACTGGAGCCGGAGTTTCCTCGCAAGACCTAAATATAAACATATCACTAGCGTTAGTCCAACACAGTTCCATATTTCAATGTGAATGTGTGGCAATAACTTACGCTGCCACAACGGCCATGTCAAGGGGTATTAAGGACTACAACATCCGAATAATATCCGACAGCATGGCCGTCTTAAAGGCATTGGAGGGCAACACAATGACCTCTGGTATTGTCTTCGAATGCCACCAAGCACTAGAACAGCTCGCTACATTCAATGGGGTACTCCTCCAATGGATTAAAGGGCACAGTAACTCACACGGGAACGATGCCGCAGATGAGTTGGCAAGGAGGGGCTCGGCAACCCCAACCTCTGGCCCAACCCCACTCCTGCTCATATCGTTTAACCAAATACGATACTGGGTCAGGCAACGGACCTGTGAAGCACACAACCGGAGGTGGAAAATCTCACCCGGCTGCAGACAGTCCAAACTGGTGCTGAATCAAGTCACACCACGACTCACCTGCAGATTGATCAGTCTTAGCAGACCGGAAATCAGAATGGTTGTAGGAACTATTACAGGACATCTAGCCCTGAACCGACAACTATTCATAATCAATGCGACGGACAGTCCCCTGTGCAGAGGATGTATGGAAGCTGAAGAAACGGCCGTCCACGTAATCCTGGAATGCGAGGGAGTGGCCACACAACGGGCAAGTATCATTCCCGATATAAAGTCGCTCCTAGAAGCCTGTGAACGCCCCAGGAGGCTTCTGCGCTTCTGGAAGGAGCTTGGCTGGCTCACCTAGTCAACCAATCCTCGACGCATAAATGACCACTCTGAGTCTAAATGCGGAAACCGAGGCCCACAACCAATACCAATACCAATGGGGTAGTAACATTCCGTATTCTTAATCCGTCACTACACGGACTGATCTTCAATCACTTTAAGTTTTCTTAAATGCAACTCGAAGTTGACCTTTAAAAGTTTTTTTTAAACTCATCACGTTTGAGGGTTCATAACTTGGTTTCTAACTTGCCCTGAAACTAATTTTAAAAAATCCTACCATTCATAAAAATTCTATAAAAAATAATTTTAATAAATATAAGGGCATGAAAGTGTCGAAATATGTTCTATATTTCGACACTTTCATGCCCTTATATTATATATATATTAAATTTTATTATTAAAGAAAAATTAAAATAAAGAAAACATAGGGACATGGATAATTCCCATCGGTTGCCTACGAAACGAAGTTTCAAAACCAGTTTCGAAATAAAAATATTTCTTTTTTCGAAACTCGTTTCGATAAAAGAATAATGTTTCTAAATTTAAATAACATCTCTTTTGATGGATAAGTCTAAGTAACAGATAAATGATAAAACTATTATTAAATATAGTTCAATAGATATTCGAAATTAACATATTAATGAATTTAACAGAACCTATTTATATTATTATTTTTATGTAGAGGGGGCAGACGAGCAGACAGGTCACCTGATGGAAAGTGACTATCGCCGGCGCCGCCCATGAACGTCTGCAACTCAGGAATCACAAACGCGTTGCCGGCCTTTTAGGAAGGAGTACGCTCTTTTCTTGATGGTTTGAAGGTCGTATCGGTCCGGTAATACCGGGAGACGATAACCCTTTGTTTCTTATCCATCAAAAGAGATTTTATTTACAAGTTTCGAAAGAAGAAACATTATCCTTTTATCGAAAAGAGTTTCGAAAGAATAAATCGACGTCCCCCGCGAATAATCCGGTAATGACCTATTACGGGGTTTTTCATGTTATGCCTTTTTCGGCATCTAGAAGTTAAAATACACCATGTAATTTTTTTCAGAATTTTTCTATCTTCATTTACGAAGATATGAAAAACTACGCGTATATTCCATAAAAATTCATTAAAATGTATTTTAAACGAATAATATGGTTTTAGATCTTTACGAAGAAAAATATCAATATGATTTGACAGTAAAATTACTTTACGATATTATTCGGG